CCCCCCATCACACCTCATCGCCCCCATCCCAGTCCCACCACGGATTTTTGAGGGAAAAACTGGCAAAACCAGGAGGTTTTCCCACCCGGGAGCTGCCGTGAAGGATTCTGGGACATCTCCACCTCCAAGATCATCTTGTTCCACATCATCATCCCCCCCAAAAAAGGAGCAAATTGGGCGTTTTCTTTCATTTTTTAAGTTATTTCTTCACTCCCGGAAAGAAAAGAATCTGGGGCAAAACCACCTGATTTCCTGACATCATTTTTTTAACAGGTTATTTGGGGGGTTTTCCCTTTTTTTTTAACTTTTTTATTTCTTCTTCCACATGGACTTGGTAAAAAATTCCACTTTTTTGGCAGGTTTTTCTGATTTTTTTCCCTGATTTTCCTGAATTTTTCTCTCTGAATCCGGCGCCGGATCCGGGGCCTTTCAGTACTAATGGGAAAAGGTGCTTTTTTTGGCCACCTGAAATCCCAATTTCTCCGCAAAACCACCTGATTTCCTGACATCATTTTTTTAACAGGTTATTTGGGGGGTTTTCCCTTTTTTTTAACTTTTTTATTTCTTCTTCCACATGGACTTGGTAAAAAATTCCACTTTTTTGGCAGGTTTTTCTGATTTTTTTCCCTGATTTTCCTGAATTTTTCTCTCTGAATCCGGCGCCGGATCCGGGGCCTTTCAGTACTAATGGGAAAAGGTGCTTTTTTTGGCCACCTGAAATCCCAATTTCTCCCATTTTTCTCATTCCTGGGAGAGCAAAATCTCATCAGGGAGGAAAAGAAATCAAGAGGATTGATGGAAATTTTAAATAATAAAAGAAACAGGGAAAAAATTCCACAGGGAAGATAAAAGCGTCGGGAAAGATGGAGGAAAAAAGGAATGAAAGCTGAAAATGACTTTTCTTCCCCCAAAAGAGGATCAAAAAGCTGGAATGAGACTTAAGGAAAATTGGGAATTGCTGAAATGTCCAGAATTGGGAAGTTTTTCAAGGGAAAAAGAACTAACTCAGGAGGGTGGAAACGGGAACGACTCATTTGTTGTTATAATATCCCTAAAATATGGGGAAGAGGGAAGGGGGAGGAAAAAAAGAGGGGGGAAAAAATCCAAATATGGGGGGAAAAGTAGAAAAAGGAGAGAAAAAAAGGGGTTTGGGATGGAAAATATTGAGGTTAAGAGAAAAAGGGAGGAAAAAATTGCCCCGAGGAAGGGCCGGAAGCGGCGGCGGGAGCGGAAGAGCCGGGAAGTGCTGAGGGAAAAAGAGGAAGGAAAAGGAAATAAAAGAATGAAAATGAAATAAAAAGGCATGAAATTAAGGAGGGAAAAGAGAAGGAAATAGAGGGGAAAAGAGAAGGAAGGAGAAGAAGAGAAAAAGGTGGAGGAAGAGGAGATGTGGGACCTGGAGCTGCTCCGACCCCTTCCCGCAGAACCAGCCCCCCCCCGGGGTCGTTCCCAGCTCCCTGTGACACGTTTTGGGGTCCCCAGGCAACTGTGACGTCATCGATGACATCACCACGGAGTCACTGATGGGGGAAGGTCACAACTGTGATGTCGCCCATGACACAGCGATGATGGCACAACCACGAGGTCATTGCTGGTGTCACCATCATGTCAACGATGGCTCAACTTGGATGTCCCCAACGACCCAGCCAAGATGTCCCCAGTGCCACCACCATCATGTCATCCCTGCCACCACGGTGACGTCACCCATGACACAACGATGATGTCAACGATGACCCAACCAAGATGTCCCCAATGTCACATCTATGATGTCACCCATGACACAACCATGATGTCAACGATGACTCGACTTGGATGTCCCCAATGCCACAGCAATGATGTCACCCATGACACAACCATGATGTCAACGATGACCCAACCAAGATGTCCCCAATGTCACATCTATGACGTCACCCATGACACAACCATGATGTCCCCAACGACCCCACCAAGATGTCCCCAATGCCACAGCAATGATGTCACCCATGACACAATGATGATGTCAATGATGACCCAACCAAGATGTCCCCAAAAGCCACACCCACGACGTCACCCCAAGCCCACCTTGGATGGTGGGAAGAAACTGTTTGGAAGGAGCCCCCAAACCCCATCATTTTGCCCCAATTTGCCCCCTCCCACCTCCAGCTCGTTAATTACTCATTAACGAGCAGCTTGATGGTGCCCATGGGTTAATGACGTGCTAATTAGCATCACCCCACCCCCTCATCTTGGGGGTTTACTGGCTAATTTGGGCCAAATCAGCCCCCAAATCAAGGGCGTGGCCAGAGGACCTGGTGGCACCAGGAGGACGTCGCCGATGACGCGATCATGACGTCACAACCGTGACGTCACCAAGGGGGGAGGGGACACATGGGGAACCCCCCCCCTCATGGAAAGTGGGAGGAAGAGGAGGGAGGAGGAGGACGAAGCCAAGAACCCCCCAAGGGTCTCAAACCCTTGAGGTGATGCCACCACCGATGTCCCCAACGTCGCCAGGAGGGACAAAAGCCACCCCAGGAGGGACATTTTGGGGGGGGG